GCCGGTCTGGGAGCACGTGCAGATCGCCACACGCTGTCCTCCAGGGGTAAAGGTGTCAACCCACTGGTCCTCGAGAACTGCGTTGCTCACCAAGTTCGTAGAGAACGAGGGGAGGTGGAAGCCTATTAGTGAGCCAGACGGAACCGCTGGGCACGGAAGCACAGTGGTGGACTGTGCAAGAACTGGGCCCCCTGAGGAGTCAGCTAGAGAGACTACAACAGGTGCAGTGAGTGGTGTGAGTGCCATACTATCACGAAACAAACAACGGGAAGCACATGGGTCAAGCGTGAAGGTGTGCAAGGCCTCAGCAGACGCAGTACCTGAGAGAACAGACTCGCTAGCACCTACGACAGCAGCCTCACCAGCACCTAGAGTATCAGTCTCTATACAAGGGTCAGGCGGCACACACAAGTAACAGTCACCATCCGCACTAACTTCCAATGCATACATGGCAGAAATATTAGCATCAAAGTCAAGAGCAAAGATGCCTACACCAGCCTTAAGCAGGTCATACCAGGCGTCATCAAGGCGGGAGAAGCAGCGGTGCTGGGTGTGGAACTTCCCGCATGTCTGACCCTTGCAGTCACCTGTGCGAATGACATATGGGCAGCGACCACCACCCCCAGACCTCCCACGCTGAGCAAGCCACTCACAAAGCTGCTAGGTCGTCTGGGGACTCTACTGCTGCTGCTGCCTCTGACCAGCTCCCGTGCCTCCACCCCGACCGCCACCTCCACCACCACAACCGCCCCGGCCGCCACCGCCGCTGCCACCCCCTCCGCCACCACCGCCTCCACCGCCGCTACCGACGCTACCACTCACGCCAGCACTCCCGCCGCCACTACCGCTACCGATGTTGTCGTCGACCGAGTCAGAGTACGTGGCGGCCACCGAAGCCGGCAAGGAGGGACGCCGACTTCGTTTTCTCCTTGCAGAGTTCCGGCAGCTGGATGTCGGGAAGCCGACCGTCCTCCGGGTGGACAACAAGTCAGCCATCATAGTCGCCGAGGGCATGGGGTTGACGGGCAACCTCAAGCACCTGGAGCGGCGACAGGCCTGGCTGCAGCACATGGTAAAGCGCGGGAAGTTTTCGCTGAAGTACATCCCGACCGCTGAGCAGCCGTTCGACTTCCTAACAAAGGCGCTGCACTATCCGGTCTTCAACCGGTGCTCCGTCGCCATCGGCCAGGTGCGCTTGGCCGACGTGGGCGACGAAATTGATGACGTGCAGCAGTAGGTGCCATGCCCTCTTGCATGGCTGGTGCGGTGGAAGACGTGGTGTGAGTTGGGTGCACGTCGAGGAGCTATTCTCCAAGGAGTACTGCCGTGTGGGCTGGGGGCCCAAGCGTGAATGCGGCAGGGGAGTGTCAACGGGAGTTGTGTGTTGGCCCCGTCCTCGCTTGGGCGGAGCCAACTTCGTGGTCGGGTGTGAGGGGAGCAGCCGACCTGCAGCAGTGGGCGAGCTGGTTGACGAGGAGGTCGACCTGCACGGAGACCACTGTACGGGCACCGACTTCAGGGAGGTCGACTTGGGAAGTTGACCTGCGGAGGACGTCAACTTGGTGACGTCAACTTGGGGAAGCCGACTTCGGTGGTCGGGTGACCAAGCGTGCTGGTCGACCTGCTGGTGGTCGACCTGACCTGGTGGTCGACGAAGGAGGGGCCGACGTCGAGCTCGACTTAGGACGCCGAGCGGTTGGCTGTCGAGTAGCTGGGTGTCAACTTCGTGACGCCGACTTCGGGTAGCCGACTTGGGTGGTCGGCCGACAACTGAAGCTGGCCGACCACGACTGCTGGTCGACGTGGAGCTGGCAGACCAGGGGCGCGGTCGACCTGGTGAGGTCGACTTGGAGGTGGCCGTCAACTTGGGAGGTCAACGGGCACGTACGGGAGCAGCTAGTTGACGTGGTTGCCTGGTCGACTAGGTTATCTGGATGACGAGGTTCTGCGGAGGAGTGCGACGGTCGCCCAGGCGAAGTTGGCGAGCCCGACCTCGGTGGTGGTGTCCCGAGGTCGACGTGGCTGATTAGAAGCAGTCATCAGCGCCAGGTTGACTTGGTGTGTGCGTTGTGCAGGTGACGAGGCTCAGCCCGCCAATCACCTGGGTGCACCTGCGAAGCGGGTGCGCTGCTGTTCTGCGTGAGCAGCGCTGGCACGCCGTCAACCTGCAACGTTGGCACGCCGTCAACTTTGCACTGCTTGAGCGCGGTTGACCAAGTCGTGTTGGAACGCGCTCGACCATGCTGTGTTGGCAGTCGACCGACCTGAATGCTAGCTCTAATGTAGTCTTGCCATGCCAACTTCATTGTACCATTGTTGTCAACCTTCTCTAGCGAAACTCTTGCCAAAACTACCTTGTGAACTAGCAAGCAATGTTTGCACTAGGAAAACGACTAAGGACCAACGAACGCAGAGATCACACGAGCACCCGTGCCTAGCCCGTAGTGTAGCTCCCGTTGTATTAGTTATCTCGGCATGGTGCGGTGAGCGTGGACGGCACACGACTTACCTTTCAGGCAGGCCAACGTAGTGGTCACTTACCTAAGTTGCTCGTAGGCTGGCAGCCGTATAGTCCCTAGCGTGCGCGTAGGTGACACAGAGGTGATGGACACCCTGGAGGGACGGCTGGAGGATGCGAGGAGACACCATGAGGCCTAGGACTATGGGGCGATACCCTGGGCGGTCGTCGAGGTTGGACTCCGCTCCATGTGGGCGGCGGAGCATCCCCCTTCTCGACCGGCTTCTCCTCGACCGGTGACCAACGAAGGCGGCGTCGACGTGGGCGTCAACGCCGGAGGTGGCCAAGTCGGCAGCAGTGCGGGAGGCACGTCGAAGCAGAGAGGTGTGATTCATGCCGATGAAGTCGGTGGCGTTCAGGCGCGAGGAAGGCAGACGTCGGCGGCTGCAAGCTCCTCGCAGGGTGGCGTCGGAGGTCGACCAGACATTCTCACCTAGAAGGAGGCCATTGAGCCTCAGTTGGAGATGGCTGGGCTGATCGGTTTAGACCGAGGGACCGTGGCGACACCGAGGGAGCGCCACCCCGACCTGCGTGCAGAGTTTTGCGCCGTGCAGCTGTTGACCTTCACGGTCATCTTGCGGTGCTGCTCATTGGGCGTGCAGATTGCCTTGAAGTGGTGCCGAGAGTACCTCGACGCCGGCCACCAGGCGTGGCACTTCATCAAGTCGACCTATCAACTCACCGACAACTTAATCATCGCCCAGCTGGAGGGGCAGCTGACGCACCTGTGTATGGGCGACAAGGAGACGGCGACCGACTACTGCAACCGAGCCCGGCAAATACTCGCCACCATCAAGATGGCCGGTGCGCAGTACTCGACGGCGTCGTACGTCACCCATGTCATGCAGGGACTCTAGAGCAGCTACAACCTCCTGAAGAGGCTGTCAATGGCGCCGAGCACGAGGACAACACTCAACAAGGACAACTTGACCTCGTACATCCTGCAGGATGAGGCAATGCAGGAGGCAGAGCGGTCCCAGGAGCTCTTGGCGCAGGCAAACTTTGTCGCCCCGTCGAAGCAAGGAGGCCGACCGGGGCAGCGCGGACAGTCTGGCGGCGGTAGTAGCAGTGGCTGGAAGCCGGCCAAGGAGGTCGACAAGAAGAAGTCGACTAAGGACAGCGGTCGAGGAGGAGGAGGTCGACGTCGGGAGTGCTGGCTGTGCGGCAACCCCGACCACCTCTCCTTCGAGTGCCCCGACCGCAGTGACTCCGACGACGACGACGCCAAGGGAGGCCGTGGGAGGTCTATGTCAAACTCATATTATATAGCTTGTCTAGGCTATAGTGGGGTAGACACTATGGGGTACAGTTTCCTAGGGTTTCCTACTTGTACCCAACCTTGTGCTAGTTCATTCATTCCTTGTTTCTTCACATGGTATAGAGCATGTTCCCTCGTAGGAACGCTTCCTTGGGCCCACCACTAAATGTTTTTTCTAACCGGAGCATCAGACGCTCCTGCCCGAGGCCCGCCTTGTTCGCCGCCCTCCCACGCCCCTAGTGGCCCCTAGCGGCCTCGTTGCCGCGCCTACGCGGCCCCGTCGCCGCCCCTAGCGGCCCCGTCGCCGCCCCTAGCGGCCCCGTCGCCGCCCCTAGCGGCCCCGTAGCCGCCTCTCTCCCTACGCGGCCCCGTCGCCGCCCCTACGCGGCCCCATCGCCGCCCCTACGCGGCCCCGTCGCTGCCCCTACGCGGCGCTGTCGCCGCCCCTAGCGGCCTCGTCGCCGTCCCTAGCGGCCCCGTCGCCGCTCCCCTTCCTACGCGGCCCCGTCGCCGCTAGTACGTGGCCCCGTCGCCGCCCCTACGCGGCCCCGTCGCCACCCTTAGCGGCCCTGTCGCCGCTCCCCTACCTACGCGGCCCCGTCGCCGTCCCTAGCGGCCTCGTCGCCGCCCCTACGCGGCCCTGTCGCCGCCCCTAACGGCCTTGTCCCCGCCCCTAGCGGCCCCGTCGCCGCTCCCCTTCCTATGCGGCCCCATCGCCGCCACTACACGGCCCCGTCGCCGCCTCTACGCGACCCTGTAGCTGCCTCTGGCGGCCCCGACGCTGCTCCCCTCCCTACGCGGCCCCGCCGCCGCCCCTAGCGGCCCCATCGCCCCCTCTGCCGGCCCCATCGCCGCCTCTACCGAGCAGCCCAGCAACTGAGCCACCCAATAGCAGAGCCGCCCAACAGCAGAGCCGCCGAGCCGCTCAGCAGCCAAGTCGTCGAGCAGCCGAGCCGCCAAGCCGCCCAGCAACCGAGCCGCCGAGCCGCCCAACAGCCGAGCCGCCCAGCAGCCGAGCCGCCAAGCCGCCCACCAGCCAAACCCCCGAGCCGCCCGACAGCCGAGTCGCCCGACACCCGAGGCGCCCGAAAGCCGAGCCGCCCAACAGCCGAGCCGCTGAGCCGCCGAGCCGCCCTGCCGTCGAGCCGCTACTGTTCTTAGCGGCGCGCCCCGGCCCTACTTACTCGGACTGGTGAGCTCACTCCATGCTAAGCCAATGTAGTCATGGCTACCCCCAGTGTTCTTACCTTTGATACTGAGGGTCGTGCTGTTGACTTTGAGGTCTGGGTCGATGACCTCCAGCTGTTCCTACAGTGCGATAGGGCAGACGGACTCTCCCTATTCAATCTCACCTCTGGTGCCTCCCCTACCCCGCCTGCTACAGCTGACACCACTGTTCGTTCACAGTGGGCCACACGCGATGCTGCTGCCCGTCTTGCTGTGCTTTGCCACTTACCGACCACTGAGCGTGTGCAATTTAGCTAGTACAAGAGTGCTCAGACCTTGTACAACGCTGTACTTGCTCGCTACTCTTCCCCTGCCACTGCTGCACTGAGCCACCTCATGCTACCGTACCTCTTCCCTGACCTTGCTGCCTTTCCCACAGTCGCTGACCTCATTACGCACCTCCGCACTAGTGACACTCGCTACCGCGCTGCGCTTCCTGCTGAGTTCTGTGCCAAGAACCCCCCCCCTTATGTACATCACCCTCTACTACATAGTCACCCGACTCCCTGACTCCCTTCGCTTAGTCAGGGACCACTTCTTCTCAGTTTGCCCCACCACACTAACCGTTGACCTCCTCGAGGACCGCCTCCTAGAAGCAGAGAAGAGCATAGTCGCTGTAGGAGCCTCTCGTGGTGACCCTCGCACCCCCGTCTTTGAGGGGTGTTCCCCTTCCCCCCTTTTGCCCTCTGTTGCTTCTGCTGCTGCGGCCGACCTCGTTGGTTTCGAGTCGGTCGGCGCTGCGTCTGCCCCTAGCGGGAGACGCCGCACCGGCGAGGGCAAGGGGGGCAAGGGCGCTGGAGGGGCTGGCGGGGGCGGTGGAGGTGGTGGTGGAGGCAGTAAAGGGGGTGGGGGTGGTGGTGGGAGTGGTGGCGGGGGTGGCGTTGTTGGTGGCAGCAGTGGAGGCGGAGGAGGTGGCGGCGGTGGCGGAGGGAGCGGAGGCGGCGGAGGTGGCGGAGGCGGCGGGGGTGGCGGAGGCGGCGGAGGCAGCGGCGGCAGCGGTGGGGCTGGTCGCGGCTCTGCATAGAGGAGTGGGTCCGGTGGTGGTCCGCGCCAGCAGCAGCAGCGCAGTCGTGAGACCCTATCCCCTCAGCAGCTTTGTGAGTGGTACGCTGGCGTGTCAGCGCGGTGGGGGTACTGGTCCCTGCACCTACGTCCTCTGTACCGGCGACCGCGCTGGTGAGCAGTGCGGGGGCCCGCACTCCACCCAGCGCTGCTTCGGCCGACTAACGGACGTATGGCGCCACTAGTTTCGTGAGGCCTCTGAGATCCCTCGCTGGGGAGAGCTGTCAAAGGCGGTGGTTGCTATCTTTGATCTTGATTATGATGCTATTCTTGCTGCAATGTATGCTGTGTCTGATAGTGTTGAGGGTGACTGTTACCTGTGTGTTCCGCCTGACCCGGGCATTGAGGCTGCTGCTCTAGGTGCTGGTGAGGCTGCTGCTCTAGATGCTAGTGCGTCTGCTGCCCCAGGTGCTGGTGAGTCTGCTCTCTCAGGTACTACATCGGCTCAGGCCTTGCACACCTTCACCCTTGACTCGGGTGCTTCCCGCTCCTTCTTTCGAGACCGCACCACGCTTACGCCGCTTAGTCGGCCGGTTGCGGTCTCCCTGGTGGAACCCTCTGGGGGTCCTATCCTTGCTAGCTTCTCCACTGTCTTACCGTGCCCGGCAGCCCCCTATGGCACCCTGTCAGGTCTTTACCTCCTCTCGTTCTCTACGAACTTGGTGAGTGGAGCTGATTTACAGAATAGGGGGGTTGACCAGTTCGCTCCTGCGAGTTTGCGGGTGACCCACTGCACCTGTGCTCGGACAGGCCGGCACTTGGCCACGCTCACCCGTCGGCCGGGGTCGAGCTAGTACACACTTACTACTGAGTCTCCTTCGGCTACTGAGTCTGGTCAGGTAGCTGCGTTGAGTCAGGTGTTTGCTGCAGCGTCCAGGTCTGGTCCTGCGTCTGCTCCTTGCTCGTGTTGTCTCCTGTCCCACCAAACTCTCCTTTGGCACCACCGCCTTGGTCACCCCTCCCTGCCTCGTCTCCGGGGCATGGCCTCCCGTGTCCTTGTCTCTGGTCTCCCCCGGTTTCTCCCTCCCTGTGAGAGTACGACGGCTTATGCCAGCTATGCTTGCTTGCCTTTACTTTATCATGCTAGTTCTAGGATAGTATAATCGTATGCATGCATGAAATGCTTGAATTCCTAGGCTAGGTGCTTTCCTATATTATAGTTATAGCACCGAGCTAGGTTGCCTGCACTGAATTCTGGCTTTTTCGGTTGCCACCGAATTGCCTTCTACCAAACTCGGTAAAGGATCTGTTCGGGACACTACACGCCCCGCGGAACCTTCGCTTAACACCTGGTTACGGGGCCTTGTGTCAAGCCTATATATAGCCTCGTGTTGTACCCAGGTTATCATTCAATTCAATTAAAATTCTCTTTTGTGAGCTCGATCCTAGATCCTCACACTCCCCTACCTTCGGGGCCTGCCCCTACCTGTGTCCCCTGTGTCGAGGGGCAACAGCGCGCCGCCCCTCACTCCTCCGAGTTTCCTCCGACAGAGGCTCCGCTGCAGACGCTTCACATGGACATGTGGGGCCCCGCCCGTGTCCGTGGTTAGGGGCACGAGCGTTACTTCTTGTTGGTGGTTGACGACTACTCGCGTTACACCACGGTGTTCCCCTTGCGCAGCAAGGGTGACGTCACTGAGGTGTTGATCGACTGGATCCGCACAGCTTGTCTCCAGCTCGGAGAGATTTTCGGCTCGGACGTTCCTGTTCTGCGTCTGCACTCTGACAGAGGCAGGGAGTTTTCCTCTGCCCTTCTGGGAGCCTTCTGTCGTGCACTAGGCATTCGTCAGACCTTCACGCTTCCGGCCTCTCCACAGCAAAATGGGATTGCTGAGCGCCGCATTGGCATGGTCATGGACGTCGCCCGTGCGTCCATGATCCATGCGGCTGCTCCCCATTGTCTGTGGCCGTTTGCGGTTCAGTACGCAGCGCATCTGCTCAACCTTCAGCCCCGGGTCTCCTTGCCAGAGACCTCCCCCACCTTGCGATGGACGGGGAAGGTTGCGTCTGCGTTTCGGGTGTGGGGATCTCGGGCGTTTGTCCGCAACATGTCTGTGGACAAGCTGTCCCCCCGTGATGTTCCCTGCGTCTTCCTTGGCTTACCCGCTGACGCACATGGTTGGCAGTTTTACCACGAGTCGGTTCCCTACTACCGTCTCTTCCCCTACCGCACTGCGCCCCTCCCCCCACCGCCGCTCTTCCTTGCGCCAGGTCCTCCCCCGGTAGACCCCCTCCCCCCTCAGGGTCCTTACCCGTCAAGTGGGTCCCAAGTAGACGCAGTCGAGCCTGTCGAGGTAGCTGTTGACTCTGGTGCTGCTAGAGGTGCTGAGCCTGCGGGTACCGGGTCTGGAGGTTTTGGGCCTGTGGGTGCGGAGCCTGGGGGTGCTGAGCCCGGGGGTGCTGAGCCTGAGGGTGCTGAGCGTGGGGGTGCAGAGCATGGGGGTGCTGAGTATGGGGGTGCTAAGCCTGGGGGTGCTGAGCCTGGGGGTGCTGGGTCTGCTCGTGTGGCCGCTCGCGGTGCTTCGTCGAGGCGGGAGCCACTCTCTCCACAGGAGCTGCACGAGTGGTTTACCCGGCGCTTGGGCCGTGCTTCTGGAGCTGGAGGTACTACTGCTGCTGCTGGTCCCGGAGGTCCTCGTACTGGCGGTGCTAGAGCTGCTGGGACTGGGGGTGCTGCTGGGGCTGCTGGAGTTGGTCCTGCTGGAGGTACTGCTGGAGCTGCTGGCGGTACTGGAGCTGCCGGTCCTGCTGGAGCTGGAGCTGCTGGGGGTGTTGGCGCTGGTGGTTTTGCTGGCGCTGGTGCTTCTGAGGGTGCTGGAGTTGGCGCTGTTGGAGCTGGAGGTACTGCTGGCGCTGGTTCTGCCGCTGGGGGTACTGGTACTGTCCGTGCTGGTTCTGGAGGCACTGCGCAGCCGCGGCTGTACTTCGTTCCGCTCCTTGAGCAGGTTCTTGGTCTCCCGCCTTCTACTCGTCCTGCTCCTCCCTTAGAGTGTCCGCAGCCTGTCTAGTCGCAGTCACAGTTACAGCCCGCCTCCCCCCTACTTGCTCCTTCTCCCTTCACTGGTCCTACTGGAGGTCTTGCTGTGCGTCGTGAGCCTACGTCTCGTCCTGCGTCGCCTGTTCGTGCTGCTCACACTAGTAGTCATGCTCCGCGTCCACGTCCTCCTCCGGTCCCAGGCACACACTAGATGGCACTGCGTCCTTCCACTGCTCCTCTTCGTGTCCCCTTGCCATCTCCTCCAGAGTCCTCTCTTCCTATCCTTGCTGACCCGGAGTCTGACTCTCTTCGTGCTGCCAGTCCTACTATCACGCGTCTGTTGGCTACTGTTGTCCCTGACCCTTCCTTTGAGTCCACTGCTGCGTCTGCCTTAGTGGCTGAGCTTGTCGACTTTGCTGCTCGCTGTTGTCTCGACTACGCTGCTAGTCTTATTGCTGAGTCTGAAGTTGTCTGTCCTCCGTCCGTCGGGGGTGAGTGTGCTCTTAGCACAGACGTCCTTGAGGACAGGCAGGAGGAGTTCCAGTGTTTTGCTGCTTCTTTTCCTCATCTTGTGTCCACGCTGATTGCCCCTGAGGGAGACCCGGATGCACCAGACATCTCAACTCCCCGATCGTACGCTGAGGCGATCGAGGGTCCCTACTCCTCTTAGTGGCAGTCAGCCATGGACACAGAGATGGCTTCCTGGAAGTCCACAGGCACCTACGTCGACGAGGTTCCCCAACCTGGGGCGAACATCGTCAATGGCATGTGGGATTTTCAGGGTGAAGCAGCCGCCGAGTTCTCCGCCGGTCTTCAAGGCGCATTTCGTGGCTCAAGGGTTCAGTCAGCGGCACGGAGTTGACTATTTTCAGACCTTCTCTCCCAACGTGAAGATGACCACTCTTTGGGTACTACTGCACATAGCCGCTCAGCGCGACTACGAGCTCCACTCTCTTGACTTCAGCACAGCTTTCCTGCAGGGCAGCTTGCACGAGGAGATCTGGCTGCGCCGCCCACCTGGCTTCACTGGGTCGTTCCCTCCTGGTACCCAGTGGAGCCTCCGGCGGCCAGTCTACGGTCTCCGCCAGGCGCCCCATGAGTGGCACGACACACTGAGGACTACACTTGCGGCTCTTGGGTTTGCTCCTTCTACAGCCGACCCGTCGCTGATTCTGCGCACCGACACCTCTTTGCCGCCGCTCTACATCCTCGTGTACGTCGACGACTTGGTCTTTGCCACTGCTAATACTACTGGACTCGCCCACGTGAAGTCCGAGCTGCAGAAGAGACACACGTGCACAGACCTGGGTGAACTGCGCAGCTACCTTTGCTTGGAGATCACACGGGACAGAGCACGCCGCACCATTACCCTGACTCAGTCACACATGGTGCAGCAGGTCCTTCAACGCTTTGACTTCACGTAGTCCTCGCCTCAGACTACTCCTCTGTCTACTCGCCACTTGCTCTCAGCTCTGCCTTTGGATGAGTCCGTAGAGCTGAGTGGCCCGTACCGAAAGCTTGTTGGCTGCCTCATGTACCTGATGACCTGCACTTGACCTGACCTTGCATACCCTCTTAGCATCTTGGCACGCTATGTTGCTCCTGGAAGACACCGACCAGAGCACATGGCTGCAGCGAAGAGGGTGTTGCGCTACTTGTGCAGTACGTCGGGCATGGGGCTAGTGCTTGGAGGGCGACGTCAAGTGGTCCTCACAGGTCACGCAGACGCTTCTTGGGCTGACGACCAGGCTACGCAGCGGTCGTCACAGGGTTACACCTTCAGCCTTGGTTCCGGCTCTGTCTCGTGGCGGTCTACCCGCTTGTCTTCTGTTCTCGGCTCCAACTATGAGGCTGAGATCTACGCGGGGGCCATGGCTGCACAGGAGCTACGCTGACTCACCTACCTACTCACTGACCTAGGAGAGCCGCCTCATTCTCCTCCAGTTCTGTACGTAGACAACAACGCCATGCTGGCCTTGTGTCGGGAGCACAGACTGGAGCACAGAACGAAGCACATTGCTCTCTGCTACTTCCTTGCTCGTGAGCTGCAGCAGCGTGGTCAGCTGTGTCTTGCCTATGTGGCCTCTGAGGCCAACACTGCTAATATCTTTACCAACGCACTTCCGCCTGATGATCATCAGCGCTTCTGTACGATGCTAGGTCTTGTGCCTACTTGGCCTCACTTGCTCACTTCTTGACCTTGCTTGT